TGGTTTTTACCAATTAGTGAATCCTCCCAATTCTTCCAGTGGGGACCACAGTGATATGTACAGGGACCAATGCTCTTCCATTTGTTCATAATGATCTGGCACTACAAATGAGGGGAAAAGTCTTAAGTTTGCCAAATTATTTGGCTCTTGGCAGAGCAGCAAAGGCTGGCAGTGTGCAGAGGGCAGCCAGGGAACTGGCAAAGGCAAGGTAAGAGGTGGGCCTGTGGGGGGGGGGGGAGAGCAGCAGAGAGGAAGGGAGGTGGGGCCAGGAGGAAGCCAGGAGGACCAGGAGGAAGCAGAGGGGTGGAGCAGTGGCCTCTAAGGCTTATAAAGCCACACTCAACCTGGCATTGTCCCTTGTCTATGCCCCGTAGCTGTGGTCTGGGCTGCCTAGGGGCTCTTTTCCCCAGGGGCAGGTTCTTTTTTTGGGGCGAGTTGTGTTTTTGTCTGGGAGAACTAGGCAAGTAAACTCAGGGAAGGGTAGTATAGGACAGAGAAGCCGGGGGACGAAGGTAGGGCCTGCAAGGGGTACCAAATGTCAGGCCAGGAGATGGCCTTGCAGGAATCACAGATGTTGCTAACTGCTGTGACACCTATGACATTTTCACCCTTCTCCCTCAGAAGAGGCAGGGATACACTTGCCCCCAGTACAAGTGTCCCTTTTAGAGGAGGAGATGAGGCATCTGAGGGCCAAGAGAGCTCTCAAGGCCCCCTGGGAGCAGTTCCACTCCAGACAGAAGGCTGAGGGAGGGGCCAAGGGAGAAACAGCCAGGAGACATGGAGGCATGTCACCCACAGGAGGAGGAGGCCAGCACGGCTTCCTCCATCTCCTGGTGCCGACCTGGAGTTGGGAAACAGGTTTTCTCCTCTTGAGGAGGCTGAGACTGATGAGGACTTGGGGGACTGACCTGTCCAGGATCCCCAGACTGGGACTAGATGTGGCCAGGAAGTGCTGTAGGAGAGGCAAGAGTCAAGGCATGGCCATCAACCACCACCAGGAAGAGATGGCAGCAGGTGATTGTTGTCAGGGACTCCCGCCTAAGGGGCACTGAGGCCGCAGTATGCCGCCCTGACTTTGAGGCAAGGGAGGTCTCTTGCCTGCCAGGTGCACACATCCAGCATGTGACAGTCAGAGTAGAGCATCTTTTTCCCTCCAGGGGTCACCAGCTGCTTCTGGTGATCCATGTAGGGACAAGTGAGACAGCCAGGCAGGAGGTGGGTGGGATCATAAGGGACTCTGAAGCTCTGGAAAAGAAACTCAGGGACCTAAAGGCCCAAGTGGCCTTTTCCTCTATCTTACCGGTCTAGGGATTTGGGCCAGCCAGGGAAAGGAGGCTTGCTGAGGTGAATGAATGGCTCAGGGTGTGGTGCCAGAAGGAATGCTTTGGGTTCCTCGACCACAGCACCCAGTTTCTTGCCAATGAACTTCTAGCAAGGGACGGGGTGCACCTCACAAGGAGGGGGAAAAGGTCCTTCGGAAATGCTCTAGTGACCTTCATCCAGAAGACTTTAAACTGAGCTGGGGGGAGGGGTGTTCGGGCCCCCCAGAAACTTGTCCTAATTGGACAAGCGAGGTGAGAGGGTCAGGGTTTTGGGACCAGGGTATTAGAGGTACTGTAGGGGCTGGCATGACTCCTACGAAGAGGGTGCCAGTATCAGGGAAGATGGGAGGGAGGAGGAGGCTGGGGATCCAAAAAGAGCTTGAGGCTCTCCTGGTAATAGGAGAGTATGACTTGGTGGGGATCACAGAAACTTGGTAGGATGAAAGACAAGTTTGGAATGTAAACATAGAGGGGTATGTCCTATTTAGAAAGGACAGGAAGGGGAAGAGGGGAGGGGGCATAGCTTTATATGTCAGGGAAGGGATAGGATGCAGTGAGATAGAATGCAGTGCAGATGGGAATCTGGTAGAAGCGGTCTGGGTGAAACTAAGGGGTTTTGACTAGGGGAGGGACCTGACAGTGGAGGTATGTTATTGCCCTCCAGGACAACTTGAGACCCTGGATTATGTCCTGACAGATCTGATTCGAACGATATCTCGGGGGAAGGACACAATAATTCCCCAAGTAATTTGTGTAATTTCAATCTCCCAGATATTAGTTGGGAGACTCACTCATTGGTGACAGCCAGGTTATGTTGTTTCCTAGATGCTACAGAGGGAGAGTTTTTCACACAGAAGATTTGGGAGATGACGAGGAGGGGAAATATCCTTGACTTGGTTTTGACCAACGGAAGAGTTGATAGATGGGGTGCAGATTAGGGAAGCTCTGGATGCAAGTGATCATCCTTTGCTTTGAGATCAGGGGAATAGGGACGAGCAGCAAGTCAAGTACTAGAAACTGGGACTTCTTGAGGGCCAACTTTGGCCAACTGAATGCCAGACTGGGGAAAGTCTCCTGGGAGGGGTTACTGGAAGGCAAGGGAATTCAGGAGGGATGGATGGCACTCAAAAGGCAGGTCTTGGATAGGTTCCAGCTGAATAACAGGAACTTCCTGACTATTAGAGCAATACAGCCATGGAAACAATTGCCTATGGAAGTCATGGGCTCTCCCACCCTGGAGGCATTGAAAATACAGCTGGACAGCCATCTGGAAAGCATCCTTAACTTTTAAGCAGGGGGCTCTGACTGATAGCTTTATTGGTCCCTTCCAACTCTACTATTCTATAATTTTAAGAATTGTGAAAGTGAATAAACTTTCTTTTTTATGAATATTTGTGTCATTCTCTTAAACCACAGTGCTACCTGGAGGTTAAGTAATGGAAAAGATGAAAGGGAAGCATTCTTTGTGCGGTGCTCAAGCTTCAATTCTGAAACAAAATCAGAGTAGATACAGTGGATTAACAGCCTCATGTAGGAAAGCTCCAAATGTAAATTGATGCATGTTGGAGCAAAAATCTCAATTTCACCTACATGCTAATACTGACTCAAACCCAAAGTTTGGTGGATAGATTGAAGGAAATAATAAGCCAACCTGCAACTTTTGTGAAAAGGTAAAGTCCATGTGAAGGATCATTAGGAAAAAAATGCAAATAAAACTTCCTGTATCGTAATGGTGCAACTACACTTTGAAACCTGTGTACAACTCTGGCCATTTCCTCTCAAAACAATGTTGTAGAATTGGAAAACAAGCAGAAAAGGAAAACCAAAATGAACAAATGGCTACAGCAATTTCCCTGACAGGAATGTCTACAGCAGTCAGGACTTTTTAATTTAGTAAAAATTGTAAGTAAGGGAAGGGTACGACTGAGGTGCATAAAATTATGCATAGTAAAAATGGATACCAAACAGTTGATTTCTGAGAATACTAGAACCCAATGGGTCATCTCATGAAGGTGAGTAGTAGCAGAATCAGGACTGATAAAAATATTACTTCACATAGTGCATAGTTACTATGGAATTTACTTCTATGGGATGTAATGATGATCACCTTGTAAAGACACCAAAGGATGTAGTTAAAAAGCAATTAGTCAAATTTGTGGAGGAGAGGGTTATGAGTGACAGCTGAGCCATTTAATATCAGAGGCAGAATGCCTCTCAATACTAGTTGCGGGAGAGCACAGCTAGGAGGTTTCTATTGCACTTGTGTCCTGCTAGTAGACATTCCACAGATATCTGGTTAGCCACTGTGGGAACAGGATACTGAAGCTCCTCTTATGTTCTAACCTAGTGAGGCTACAAATAACCATTTCTCTTGCTGACAGAAAAAAAAATTCCCACCGGACACCCTAAAATCAAACAATCCTCTATTGTTGAATGGTCTTTTCTGAACCCCACCTACTCCTTGTCTACAGAAATAGTCACTTATGATGATTGCAGCATTTTTTAATCTTTTATTTCTTTAAATTTGAGTATCCACTATTTTTTCTCATTGCTAGATCGACACTTTGGAGACATCTTTACATGTAAGTGCACAGATACTGGTGCTACTCGTCTTGTTCCTTTTGGTACTCTGCAATACCAGAAGAAGAAAATTAGGAAAGTTTTTTTCTTTAATTCCTCCACATTTTAGGATGCAGACAACAGTTTTTAAGGGAGTTCAAAAACAGTTTAAAGAAGCAAGGTGCACACACATATTTCCTTCATTCAGTTGTCACCTCTGGTCACTAGAACCCTTTTTAGAGGCAAAAAATGGGCAAGTGCACATACAGCATTATTCTGTTTCACACCAACTTCAAAAACTATTGAACTAAATTCAAATTAGCTTTTTCATGCATTTTTAAAAATTGACTCAATCTGATGCTGAAACTGAATAAACTAAGCATAAGAAGTTTATGAAAGGCAGAGAAACCAACAGATTCATGCACCCCACCCGCAAATGCTCTCATCACTTCATCAGTGGCAATCATGTTCTTTATTCTGATGAGAGCCTCAGCCCTTCTCTATCTAGAGATGGATAGGGTTTTCCAAAATCCCACAATGAGCACCAGAAAGGTTACAAATGCAGCAAATATTCTTATTACTTTCTGAGCCTCAGAAAGGTTCAGGGAAATGTCTGGGAGAAACCTTATCCCTCTCCAGAGGCTGGAGAGCAGGGCTTAATGAGGCTCAGAGAGTTTTGTGATGGCTTACAGCTTTATGAACCGCTTTGAGCCTTAGCCCTTTACATAGCCCAGAACTGTGGAAGAGCTTAGAAGCTTCACCTGCAGAAGTGAGCAAATATTTCGGGTAGCTACCAAACAAAACATGGGGACTCCCTGCTGCCTACTATCTGCATGTTCAAGCCTAGCAGGTCAGGGTAAAGCTTCAGTTAAAACTTTCTCCCTGTCATTCTAGCTTTGTAAGTGGAGGCATTTTATACGGGGGAGTCCTCACCAACTCAGAGTCCTAGCTGCAGTCTCAAATGGGGAAACCCTGCAACAGATGCTTCCAGTGAGGTTGCTACCTATCCATTTTAGCTCTCAACCTTTGAAGTACAGTTACAACACAGAAAGGGAATAGAACAATTGCAGCACAGTGAAGTTCTGTAAAGCTACAGCAGAACAGCCTGCTTTTCCTTACCTTTTGGCTGCTACATGATCATGTAAAGTTGGAATCCTATCTTTCAGACGGAGGTCATGAAATGAGGTTTGTACCTGAGCCTCTGTACATAAGCGAGATGAACGCCATTTCTTTCCTCGAGGTATATCAACATATGAGGTCTGAACCTGGGCCTCAGTAAACACAGGGGGGTTTGATTTCATTTCAGCTTTGGATATTTGATGCAGCATCTTTTCCTCAGTTTTCTTACCATCTGTCTTTTTTGCCTGGCTCTCTACTAGCTTTGGGAATAAATGCAAATCATCCTCAAAGGACAGGCCAAGGTGAGCAGTTTGTATCTGAACTTCTACTTCCCCTCTCGTGCTCCATAGCTCAAGCAATGATTTTTGCATCAGAGCACTACTTTCCTCTGGGAAGACAGAGTTCACTTGTCCATATGGTGATGCGGGTGTGGGTGGTCGCATTGGGCTGACAGTTCCTGATGGAACAGTAGACTCAGTTGTCCATAATGGGGCAGGAGTTTCAGCTGTGCATGATGGTACTGAAACTACAACTCTATCTGCTTGTACAGGAGACACGCCTGCTTGTGATGGGAAGGTAGGCACATCAGTGTGTGATGGAACAGGAGACACACTGGTGCATGATGAGACTGGAGACACATGTGTGGGTGATGGAACGGGAGACACATCCGTGCGTGATGGAACGGGAGACACACGGGTGCGTGATGGAACGGGAGACACACGGGTGCGTGACGGAACGGGAGACATATCCGTGCGTGATGGAACGGGAGACACACGGGTGCGTGATGGAACGGGAGACACATCCGTGCGTGATGGAATGGGAGACACATGGGTGCGTGATGGAACGGGAGACACATCCGTGCGTGATGGAACGGGAGACACATCGGTGCATGATGGAACGGGAGACACATCCGTGCGTGATGGAACGGGACACACATCCGTGACAGTTTGCAAATCGGAGCTAGAAGATTGTTTCTGACCACTGGGTACTTCTTCTAGAGTGCACATATCAAGCTGGGAGGTTTGGACTTTGTTGTCAGTTTGTGATGGGGGAGAAAATTCAGCTGTTATGAATTCAGCTGGTTGCACTGAACATTCAGTCTGTAATGAGGGAGGAATCTCCTCTGTGGTTTGTGGCAAACAGAGCAAGGAAGTTTGCATCTCAGCATCAGCTAGTTCTTTTGTCTTCCACATCTCAGGAGAAGAGGTTTGCATCTGAGTGTCAGTTTGGGCTGGTGGAAGAGAACTTGCCTCTTCAGGCACAGGTAGACGAACTGGGGTTTCCATCTGTGGTGGGAGAAAAGAGTCTTCTGTGGATTCTGCCAAATCCATCCAAGAAGTTTGCATTTGAGCATTATTTAGTTCTTTTGCTTTCCATATGTCAAGGAGGGAGGTTTGCACCTGAGTGTCCATTTGTGGTGAGGAAGTTGACTCTAATTTTGCCTCTTCTGGTTCCAAAAATGGAAACTCTAATTCTGTCTCTTCTGGCTCAGAGAAAGGAGGAGACTCTAATGCTGTCTGCTCTAGTTCCAAGGATGTTTGCACCTGAATGTCAGCGTACAAGGGTGACGCATGCCACGAATTCTCCACAGGTATTTCACTATTTGAGGCTTGTACCTGAGCATCAGTTTGTGACATTAGAGGAGGCTGTTCGTTTAGTAACTCAAGCAAGGATGTTTGAGCCTGAGTATCAGTCTTTCCTTTTTCCCTCCAAATATCTATCAAAGATGTCTGTATTTCCAATTCAGTTTGTAATAGAGGAGAAGGTTTTAAGACTGACTGAACATCAGTCTCAGATGTTTTCTGTTGCATGTTAGCTAGTTCTTTTGCTTTCCATATTTCAAAAAAGGATGTCTGCACCAATTTATCAATTTGTTCCATGGGAAGAGACTTAATTTCTTGCTGGGGCAACTCTGCTATTGAGGTCTGCATTTGAGCATTAGCTTTCTCTTTTGCTTTCCAGATGTCAAACAGTGATGTTTGCGTTTGGCTATCAACTACTAATGGTGGAGGGGACTCTTTTGTTTGGGTTACATTAAAGTCAGAAGTTTGCATTTGTGCATCAGCTAAGTCCCTTGCTTGCCATAGTTCAAGCAATGATGTTTGGGTTTGGGTAATGCCCTGTGTTTGAAGGCAAAGTTCTTTTTCTATTGGCAATTGAAGCCCCACTGTTTGTACTTCTGCTTCAGCTTGCAAACGTGATGCCCGCCACCTATTTCCCAATGGTATTTCAACATGTGATGTCTGAACTGCACTGTCAACTGTTGGAGACCAAAGGGATTCCCTCTGGCATGGAGCCTGAGAGGCTGATGTCTGAACTTCTGGAAGTTCATGATACCACTTACGAATCTGAGCTTCCATTACCTGTGGTGTAATAAGGTACTCTTTTCCTTCTGTTATTGTCTCCTGATTTTCATCTTCAGCTTCAATCAATGACAAAGAAGAGTACTTTTGTAAATCACTGTCTGATTTCTTCTGAGCTTCCATTTGTGACATTGAAGAAAGTTTCTTCATTAGTTCTACATCAGACATTTGCACCTGGGCCTCCCCTTTTGGCAATGAGGAAGAAAGAAGTGCTGCAGATTCATAAACTGAGGTAGTTATCACTTGTGCTGAAGAAGGACGCTTCTTCAGCAGCTCAGCATTTAAAATCTGACATTGGGCCCCCGAGTCTGACCAAGAAGAAGCCTTCCTCTGCAATTCATGGCTTGAAGTTTGCACTTCTGGTTCAGAGACTGACAAGGAAGAAACTTTTTTTAGCAATTCAATACGGGAAGCTGGTTCCATGGTCTCAATCTGTGACAGCAAAGAGAGTTTCTTTAGCAGTTCAATGGTTGATGTTTGAACCTGTGCATTCGCTTGTGGCCATAATGAATGCAACTTACTCCATTCCCTCAACAAAGTGTCAGACGTCTGTATGGCAATTTCAGTCAGTTCAGATGGAAGAAACTTCTCTTTTAATACAAGAGGGAATTCCAACTCTCCTGCCACCTCCCCTTCTTTTTCTAATTCAAGCTTTGATGGTTGTTCCTGAAGGACAGCTTCTGTGATACCTTCTATCACGGAGGCAAATGAGGTCTGTACCTGGGCCTCTGCTTTCAGTCGTGCAGAACGCCAGTCATTTCCAGGTGGTATTTCTACAGGTAAAGTTTGCATCCCAGTATCAACATACATGGGGTATAATGTGCTTGATTCCAACAAAGATGACTGAGAAGGTGAGTTCAAACTTTGGGGTTCAGTTCCAATGGAGGATGTATCATCCTTTGTCGACATATAGTCTGAAAATGAAGTCTGCATTTGGAAGTCTCTTAGTGAAGCATCTGTCATGTCAAGATTTGAGGTCTGCACCTGGGTGTCAGCTAACATTGGCAAAGAAGCAATCTTTTCTAATAATTCTGGATAGAAAGCTTGAGCCTGGGCAAAACCTCCCAAAGATATTATAGACTTCCTTTCTGGTAATGAAATAAATGAAGTTTGCACCTGGGCCTCCTTTTCTTCTGGTAATGAAAGCAGTGATGTTTGCACCTGGGCCTCCTTTTCTCCAGGTAGTGAAAGCAGTGATGTTTGCACCTGGGCCTCCTTTTCTCCAGGTAGTGAAAGCAGTGATGTTTGCACCTGGGCCTCCCTTTCTCTAGGTAATGAAAGCAGTGATGTTTGCACCTGAGCTTCAGCCTCCAATACTCCTGGTAATTCAGTAAATGAGGTTTGCACTTGGGCATCTGTTTCAAATGAGGTTGGACACCTCAGGGAGAGAAATGAAGTTTGTGCCTGGGCCTCAAGTTGTCTTGGTATGCTTGAAAATGAGGTTTGGATCTGAACATCAGCCTCTGAGGATGACTCTATCTCTGCAATGGGTAATGAAACTACTGAGGTTTGCTGCTCAACTTCTTTATGCAACCGTGACCACCGCCACCTATTTCCTTCTGGGATTTCCACATGAGAAGTTTGCACTTCAGCTTCAACATACAAGTCTTCCTCCTGTTGGGGTGGAGGGAGAATGGTCAGTGGGCATGAGGGAAACATGACCATCTATATCATGTTCAGAAGTAGCATTATGACTACTAACCAGGGAGACTCCATGTGGAAATTTAAGTGTATGGAGTAGGGCAAATATATTTAAAATGATTGTAATGCTTTGAAATATTTATGTTTTACTTGGTATTCCTTAATCTATACCTGGCCAGTATTTTCAGAATTTTGGTTCCTTTGTGCCATAAATAATAATAATAATAATAATAATAATAATAATAATAATAATAAATGGGGCTCCATTTCAACATGAATATTATTGAAAAGGATGCAACTTCTAATCAGAAAGGGTGGATTTGACTTCCTTCTATTGACTTGTCCTCAATTTTCAAAGAATCACAGAATCATCAAATCATCAAATTATAGAATTGCAGAGGGGGGCACAGGAGCAGAAGGCTATTGGGTACAACCCGCTGATCAGTGCAGGACACCAATTAAACCATCCCTCTCAGATGGCTGTCCAGTTGAATCTTGAATGTCTCTAGTGTGGGAGAGCCCACAACCTCCCTAGGTAATTGGTGTATCCAAAAGCCACCAGGCATTCCCTGTTTCCCTGGCCACTTGGGCAAAATCCTGCCTGGACTTCCATGGTCCCAGAGCCCTGGACCAGCCACTGAATTCAGCATATGGCAAATCCAAGCTTGAGGAACAAACACATTTTTAAAGGTATAAAATATAGGGGTGGGGAGGTACTAAAACATACAAGCTAAAAGGATAAAATGGGGCAAAATAAGGAAGGGGGAAAGGTGAAGTTGGACAGCAGCAATAATACAGTTTATAGCCAGCCAAGAAACCCCAACTCCCATGGCTTTGTTGGCCCACTGAGACAGAGAAAATAACAAAGCTATTCCTAGCCTCAGATTCACACACACAAACTCTATGTTTTACAGGCATCATTCATGTAACTGGAGCCCTCCACACAGCTAGGGATTAAAAATCCGTTGCTGGAGCTTCCAGTCCAACCTCTGGATAGTCCAACCTCCCAGATAAACATGGGAACTACCTGAATTCAAATGCACAAACACTTGCTGCAGGAATTTTGAACCAATGGACATTCATCACTGCCACCTGATCAGCAAAGGTATAAAAGGAGACCCCACCATGTGGGTCAGCTAACCTTTCACTGTGATCAAACTTATCCTCAAGAATAAAACTCCATTTTGTTCCTTCCTCTTTGTCATGCTTGACTGGGTGGAGCATGCCAAGTCTGGACCCTTTGAGTCCAATTGACAACCACAAAGAGATCAGTTTGATGGCCTCATCTTGGCAGTTGAGGGAGATGATAAAGCCTCTGCCACAGGACTGTCTTGGCTGGCACCAGACTACTTGCCTATGAGTACCCTCCTGTGTGGGGGGAGATGATTGGAACTGCCTCTAAGTCATGATGTCCAGTCATGTGAGAGGATTAAAGGTTCTAGTAATTCAACAACCAGTTGGTGAGCAGTTGCTCCCTTTGGGCCCAATGTGTTTGTGGGAATGGTCAGTGGGACTGGTAAAAAAGGAATTGAAATAATTCCTTTTTTACCAGTCTGGGTTTTAATTGTATTTGCATTATGTTTACTTATTTATGTGAGCCGTCCCGAGGCTATAAGCGATGGGACAGCATACAAAAATTCTAAATAAATAAATAAAACAAATAAATAATCAGTGGTAGCATTGCTGTTGGGGCAGTTAGTGTGACTTTGCCCAGAAGAACCCAGGGGACCAACATAGGACTGAACCTGGTAAGGAGCCAAGGGGTTCCAAAGAATGGGTCAAGGTAAGCCAAAAAGAGGGATGCCTCTGGCTCAAGTGCAAGTGGACTCCCAAGTGTGGGCATCAGGGGTGCCTGAGAGAGCAGTGTGCTCAGAAGGTGTAGCAGTCACCATCCAAGAAATACCTCCTATCCCTTGGGTTCACCAATACCCAATTCCACTGGAAACCCAGCAGGGCTTATAGCCCCCATGCTGGTGGTATTCCATGTTGGATTTCAAGGGTGCTTTCACTCTCTCTCTCTCTCTCTTTTGTGCCATCACAAAAGCAAATATTTTGCTTTTGAATGGGCAGACCTCCAAGCTAGGGATAGGACTCAGAACTAGTGGTGCATTTTGCCCCAGGGTTGTGTGGAAAGCCCCTCCATTTTTGCCCAAGAACTAAGCAAGAGATTTGAAGGACTGGAAAAACCCTGAGCGAATACACATCTTGCAGTATGTCAATGATTTGCTTGTCTCTGCACCAACTGTAGAGGAATGTCAAATTGCAACTTTTAAACCGCTTAAGTATCACTGGATGCAAAGTACCAAAGCAAAAAGCACAGATCTGTCAAGCCTCTGTAATTTATCTAGACTACCAGCTGACAGTGCGGAAGTGAGAAATCCTGCCCAAAAGAAAGGAAGCTATTTGCCCATGCAAGCAGCGGAGGAAAAATTTCCTAATACAGACCCCTGCTGGGACAACAATAGTGCTGCAGATAGGAGTAAAATGATCTTGTTGCAGTAGGGCTGTTGAAGATCCATTTTGTTACCAAGTCTTGGCCAGATATTCAGAAAAAGCTTCAGAAAATAGATGGGTGGAATGAAAAGGCCTTAGAAGAATTATTGAAAGAAGCACAGAAGGTATATGTACAAAGGGAAGAGGAAAGTCAGAAGAGACAGGCAAAGATCATGGTGTCTATGGTAGATGAGGCTGTGAAAGGAATGTGGGCACACCCCCGGTACCCTAAAGAAGGGGGCGGCTGACCCCATATAAGAGAGCATCTTTCTGGGGAACGGCAGGAGCAAAAAAAGTGGCACCCCAGGAGGAGGAAGTGGTTTTCCTGGTAGATACCGGGGCAGCCCGGACCTCGTTAAATTATATCCCCCAAGGAGTACACTTGTTACCTCAGAAACTCGAGGTATCTGGAGTGGAGGGGGAAAGATTTTCAGTACCCATTTTTCAACGCACTACCCTCAAATTGGGGAAGGAATGTATTCACCAGGAGATGTTGCAAAACACCCGGTGAGGTGGTAAGACAGAGGCAATATCCCATATCAATGGAGGGGCATCAAGGCCTAAAACCAGTAGCTGGAAGATGGGTTATTGGAACCCTGCATTCCCCTGGGGCCAGCTGCAGATCCTCCTGGAAGGGAGGGAGTGGCTGGAATTTTGAATGCAGGGATGGAGGAGGGGGGCGAGTGAGAGGCCCAGAGAAGTCTTTAACAACTTCAGAGACCACATAGAGTTGAGAAAAGGGTTGGAACAACTGAAGAAAGATTTAAATGATTTCCCTCTTAAAGGGAATCTTAGGAAGAAAAGTTAAAAAAAAAAGATGAAAATACAGTCTGGTTACAGGATTCATCTGGCCACGCTGTATGTCAGGTCTTAAAACTGACAATAAATCAAACCAAATTTGGACTGAGGAATCTAAGTATGCAGGCAGCTGACTGCCTGCCTCAGTTTCAACCAGTCTGGAGGCCTTAAAATAATGGGATCCCTTCGATAGTTTGCCACCATACCCTAGGAAAGACAAAGGCACCTTGGGAACCACTTCTTCATTCCCCAAACTCCCTAAGGAGCTTCAGAGTTTGAAGGATGGAAATTCCACCTTACAGGAAAAACTTGGCCATGGCTTACAGGGGGAGGTCTTGCTGATTGGTCCTAAAGCATGAGGACAGCAAAATCATATTATGGCCCCTTTTGGGCAGGTACTTTGGCAATGGGAGGATTTAGGTTTGTGGAGTCCCCTCTGACTGCAGCAGAGGTGAAACCTTTTAGGCAGGAACTACAAGCTATTTTTGTTTGTTTGTCTGTTTGTTTGTTTGTTTGCTTGCCTGCTTGTTTGCTTGTATTTTGTTTTCTGGTGAAGAATTGAGTTTGATCCCTCAGGAAGCTAGAGATGTTTGGAATAGAGAAAATCTCAACAGAGCAGGAGGTGCTCTGTGCTGGCTTCTAGAAGGGAGAGTTGGGAATAATTAGAGTATATGATCCAAGGAATCAAAGAAGCAGTACCTCAGTCTCTTAATGTACGTAAGACTTTGTCTTTGGAATAAAAGAAAGATGACACTCCATCTGAGTGGCTGGAGAGACTGAAGCAACAGATGCAAAAAAAAAGGGGGGGGGGGGCAACTGGATCCAGGAATCCAGCCCATCAGATAGATATTGTTTTAATGTTTTAATAAAAATAATAAATAAATATTGCTGAAGTGTCAGTTTGCAGGGAAGGCAAGGGAGGATATTAGGCAGAACAGAAGTTGCAGAAGTTAGATGGAAGAGAGGCAAGGACATTGGAAGATTTGTTGAGAGAGGCACAGAAAGTGTATGCGATAAGAGAGAATGAGAAGAAATTGAGTTCATGACTCAAAGGATGGAATGCAGTGGCAATAGAGGAAATGGGAGTAAGTCAGGTAGAGGATGAGGTAGAGGAAGAGGATTTCAGCCCGCAACTAAGGGGGGGGGTGAATGAATGAGGGATTCAGTGCAGGGTGCTATCAATGTGGAAAGGTTGGGCACTTTAAATGAGAGTGCCTTGAGCTGAGGGGAGAGGAGAGGTTGATTTCTCTCATGAATATGGACAAAGATTAGGAAGGTCAGGGGTCTCCTCATAGGAGGACCCACTGGGAACCTTTGATAAATTTGAAAGTGGAACCATTTGGGAAAGACATGGTATTTATGGTAGGCTCTGGAGCTACCTGCTCCACAATGAATTTGATTCCAGATGAAATGCAATTGGGAAAAGGAGAATTGATGGCTCAAGGAGTGGCAGGTGATCTGGTAAAAGCAAAAATATTTGAACCTGCTCAAGTAAAACATGAGCATGGTGAAAGTGTTGTGTGGTGTGATTTTCTACTGGGGAGGAAATTTGTCACTTGGCAGGGAGAAATCTCCTAGCCAGACTGGAATTTTTGGTAAAAGGTGTTGGAGGGGAGGTAGAGATGAAGCTAATGAGGACCAATTCTGATTTATCTCTAAAACCACAGGCAGCTCATGTTTGT